CACACAGCAGATAAGAGCACTAATTAGCATTTTGATAAAAGGAAAAGGCAGGGAAAGATGTGGGTGCAACAGTGGGGCTCACTGTCTGGCTAGACCAGGGTTTCATGTCTTGACAGAGACACACAGTAAGAAATAGGATTGATTGCCCATACACCACAGCGTTGTAACAAAAACTAAATTACCTTCTCTTGCTTTGTACTCTGATAAGTCTGTTCTGTTTAATGTATTGATGGATTTAAATTTCACCTTCAGTTCTGAGTGCATCAAGGGAAAAGTCTCCATCGAGTGCAAGCGTGCCTTTAACACCTGCTATCTATCTATCATCTCCTAGTCTTCCTCCTAGCAAAAGCCAAGGATCAGGCCTTGAGCTGAAGCCTGGGCAATTATTGTGTCCGGCTTTCAACTGAATAACCTGCTTTCAAGTTTTATTTTATTTTATTGTGTGTGTGTGTGTGTGTGTGTGTGCCTGCGTGCGCACATGTGTATGTGGCTGGGGATCCAGCCAAGGGTCTCGTGCATGCTAGGCAAACATTCTGCCACTGAGCTACACCCCCAGCGCCTTGCTTTGATTTTTTAATTTTTTTGGTGGGACTAGAGTTTGAACTCAGGGCCTCATGCTTGCTAGGCAGGCACTCTACCACTTGAGCTACTCCACCAGCCTCCCTCTCCCACCCCTTTGATTTTATTATGTTCTTTTCTCAGTCATCTTTATTGCAGGAACTAAAACTGGAAGACAGGGATAGTGATTAGAAAGAGTTTTAGAAACATAACTTCATTTCATTTAAAAAAAAACATAATTTCAAGAAAAATGTTAAGTAAATACGAGTCTCAGGAAGAGGTAGTTGTGTTAAGAACTAAGGTTTGGAGCTAGGCATGGTTGTTCATACCTGTAATCCCAGCACGCAGGAGGCTGACACAGCAGGAGCATCAATGAACTGAAAGGCAGCCTGGGTTACCTAATAAGACCTGTCTCAAATGAACAAACAAAACCTGAGGTTTGGGAAATGCTAAGGGGAGATTTGAGGTGTCAGCAAGCAACCTGCTTTTCTTTCAGATTTTTGGGGTTTCACCAGTCTTCTTTTGGTGACAAACCTGAAGGTATGACCCAGTTCTGAAAGCAACTTCCAAAACCTGGGGCCCTGCTGGCCCTCTCATGACCAGCTTTTCCCAGATGTGCATATCCAAGGTCCACTGAATGGCAGAGGGCCTGCTGGAAACAACTAGGAGACACTAATGCCACCTCTGGGTGGGAGAGGGGTGGGGACAATGACTAGGGAAACCCTTAGTATGCTAGACAGATGATTCCAGTCAGCAGTCATAGAAAGCAGGACTGGGGCGTGGCTCAAGGGGTGGAGCGCCTTTCTAACGAGCTCAAGGCCCTGGGTTCAAACCCAACACCACGAAAAGAACCAAAAGACCCAAGCCAGTATCCACACATTTTCCACAAGGGAAACAGGGCCCCAGAGGTGAGCGTCCTTGGTTTCTAAGACAGACAAGGGCGTCGGTAGACTTGTGCAAAGTCTTGGAGCTGTCGTCGGAGGTCATCATTACTCCACACACACTTCTCTGTCCTCATCTATCAAAGCAGAACCAACTCTGTAAATCTCTTTTTTATTTTTATTTTTTATTGAGGTAAACATAATAAATTTAACCATTAACCGTTTTAAGTGAATAATTCAGTGACTTTTAGTACATTTGCAAGGTCTTGCCACCTTCACCCTACAGGGATTCAATACACATGAAGTTAGTCACTCCCTGTTCCCCTTTCCCTCAGCCCCTGGCATCTGAGGGGTTTGAACTCAGGGTCTTGTGCTTGCTGGGCAGGTGTTCTATCACCTGAGCCACACTGCCAGCCCAAGGATTTGCCTGTTTTTGAAGTCTCATACAAATGGAATCATCCAATATGTAGCCTTCTATATCTGGATTCTTTTTGGTTTTGGGTGGTACTGGGATTTGAACTCCAGGCTTCACACTTGCTAGATAGGTGCTCTCCCACTTGAGTCAGTTGCCCACTCTTGAGCCCTATTTTGTGTTGGGCATTTTTGAGATAAGAGTCTCACAAATTGTTTCCTTGGGCTGCCTTCGAACTGCAGTCTTCCCTGAGTAGCTAGGATTACAGGTGTGAGCCACTGGCACCAGCTTATATTTTCTCTTCACATAATGACCACATGATATGGCATGAATCTGAGCTTCACTCCTTTTCATGAATTCACAACACTCCATTGCATAGCTGGAGCACAGGTGATTTATCTGCTCATCCCCTGGTGAACATTTGGATTGTTTCCACCTTTGTCTGTTCAAGAACACCACTGCTATGGTGGCTGGAGGTGTGGCTCAAGTGCTAGAGTGCCTGCTCCGCAAGCCCAAGGCCTGAGTTCAAACCCCAGCACTGCAAAAAAGAGAAAAGGAAAAATCCGGCAGAATACTGCTTGTTATGAATGTGTATAAGTAAGCATTTGTTTGAACCTCTATTTTCAATTCTTTGGGGTGTACATACCTCAGAGTACAATTATGCTGTCGTATGGTAATTCCATGTTTGACTTTTTCAGGAACTCATAATTCTTTTTATTTTATTTTATTTATTGAGTCAGGGTCTCTATAAGTAGCCCAGGTTGGTTTCTGTTTCCCAAGTGCTGGAATTACAGGTGTGCAACACCATGCCTGGCTTAGGAACCTGTAACTCCTTGTTTTGTTGGCATAAGTTGACTGCATAGAGGGGTTTCGTTGTGACTTTTGCATATGGCACATATTGGACTTTGATCATATTCACCCCCTCTGTTACTCTTTCTTATGCCTTCCTCTCTCTCCTCCCTCTTTCATGGTTTTTAGTGGGTTTCATTATGCTATTTAGGAACCCATAATTCCTCTTTTTGGCATAAATTAATTGTACAAAGGGGTCTTATGGACTGGAGGCATGGCTGAAGTGGTAGAGCACCTGCCTAGTAAGTGTGAGGCCCTGAGATCAAACTCCAGCCCCTCCCCCACCAAAAAAGGAGGGAGGGGTTATTTCCACATTCGTATATTGGTATTGTGATCAAATCCCCCCCTCTATTACTGTCTCTTAGCCCTCTCCCTGTTTTTAATGGATTTTAGTCTTTAGTGGATTTTATTACTTCATAATTCTTTTTGTTGGGGGGGAGGGAATAGGGTTTGAACTCAGGGCTTTACCTTCTCCCTCCCCATCAGCGACTGTCCTAGTCAGTGCCCTCCACCAAGCCTGCCTCATGAATTTGTGGTGATCCTGGTGTCACATGGACATACTGAGTGCATGTGCCCCTTCCCAGGAGCCTAGCTGAGCACAGACCCTTGTGAGTGACACTGGAGCAGCTGGGGTCCCTCTTCCCCTAGACTGGGTCTCCAGAGTGGTCCATCTGCAGAGAGCAGAGCAGACATTGTCCCCAGGGTCAGCCCAGCAAACCCTGCCTCTCTCTCCCCAATGGCCTCATGGTGTGAATGAATCCTTGATGTCCTTGGTCATCTGACATCTCTGAACTTTGGCCCAGGCCTCACTTCTCCTCTCCTCCTCCCCTCCTCCTTCTCTCCCCTCCCCCAGTGGCCTCTCATCTGCTAGGCAGGCGCTGTACTACTTGAGCCATGGCCCCAGCTCGTCACCTGTCCTCCCTTTGGCTCTGTAATCACCTGTACTTTGAGGGATGCCTCCTTGCCTAACACCAGCCAGAACAAATCTCTCCACCTCCGATAGCACCTTGCATATAGCAGCCACACACTTACAATTCTGTCCGGTCTTATGCAGAATTCATGGTTGACAGTGAGCTAGAAAAACTTTATATACATTCCTTGCTGGGTTATTTTAATAATTTAATGACAGCTTGGGTAAAGTAGCTTAGTACATTAAATTCTCCCACTTTTTTTCCCATCATAGTCCTCTGAATTATGAGCTTCCAAAAGAGAACCGTGTTTTACCAGTCTTCCTGTTTCTGGATGATTCCGTGCCTTTCCCAAAACTGCTACCTAATCACCTTCTGTTGATTGAATTAGTGGGAGAGCAAAAATGAATGAACAGCTATATCTTCGGATTATTTGAAATGTGTTGTATTAAGAATTAATGTCTGATGGAGATCACCCTTGGTGAGAAGGTCAATTTCAACTGCAGGCCATCGAAATATTGCATGTCACCCAGATACATTTTCCAATGTGACATTGTGTAATTGAAACAGTGAGGGTGTGGTTCTCAGTTTTTAACAGAATGCTCAAATGTTAGTGAGCAAATGCTCCAAGATTCTCAAATTCACAAAAGTACATGTAGGGGCTGGTGGGGTGGCTCAAGCAGTAGAGCACCTGCCTAGCAAGTGGGAAGGCCCTGAGTTCAACACTCCAGGACCACCAAACATATTTAATAGAAAACTGAATTGCATAGAGTCTCATCTCTGTCTGAGATGAATGATTGTAGCAACTTACTCTGTTGTCAAATTACCAGGCTTCCGACAGCGCTGGCAGCTCAAGCCTGTAATCCTAGCTACTTGGGAGACTGAGTTTGGGAGAATCGAGGTTCAAGGCCAGCAAAGGTAATTAGTTCATGAGACCCCCATCTCCAAAATGGGCTGGAGGTATGGCTCAAGTGGTAGAGCACCTGCTTTGCAAGCGTGAGGCCCTTAATTCAAAACCCAGTCCCGCAAAAAAAAAGAAAGAAAAAGCATGTGAATTAAAGTAAATATTCAGAACAGAGTGCACTTAATTAAAGAGAGCATTCTGTATAAAAGCAAAGGCTATGCCTGGCATGGTTGTGCATACCCATAAACCCAGTACCTGGGAGTCTGAAGCAGGAAAACAGAGAGTTTGTGGTCAGCCTGGGCTACATAGTAAGACCCCCTCCCCAAAACAAAAGAAGAAAAACAATGACAAACAAACAAGCAAATAAGAAAAGCAAAGGGCTTGATGTGGGAAGAGCCTCCTGCACCGGTTGGGGAAATGGTGGGGGTAAGATACATCGTGGGCAGGGGTGCAGTCCTCCTGGCTTAAGTTGTATTTGTGGTCTCTTTCAGGGAGGCAGTGAGTAAAGGGGTCCCTGTCCTGAAGGAGGGGCCATGGCCTTCATGTTGCTCACCCGGCGGCTAGCCTGCAGCCTCCAGCACTCCTTCCGCCTCCTTGTGCCAGGTAAGCCCTGGGGTCTCACCAAGCCTGGTCCTAATGGAGCCACAAACCAGACTAGGGACTCCTGGGTTGAAGAATCATGGGGTCAAAAGGACTTGCCAGCCAGTAACTCTGGGGCTGCCCCACCACCCCTCATAAAGCTGTCCTCATGGCTACCCCCTTCCCATCTTCCATGTCCACCGCTCTCTCCTGTCTGCAGGTGGACAGTTCTGCAGGTGGTGGGAGGGGAGGGAGCCACCCTGTCTGCTCAGAGGTGGTGACCTCCCAGTCCGAAGGGCCCAGGGCAGCCAGGAACCAGAGGCTCACCCCTGTAATCCTGCCCACTCAAGAGGCAGAGAGCAGGAGGAGTGAGGTTTAAGGCCAGCCCAGCAAATAGTTTGAGAGACCCATCACAAAAAAAGGGCTGGTGGAGTGGCTTAAGGTGAAGGCCCTGAGTTCAAACTCCAGTACCATAAAAAAAAAAAAAAGACAGGACTGTTCACTTCCTCTCCCACAGTACTGGCAGGCTTTATTTTAAACATTTAGGAATAATTTCAGCTTTTACAGACATTGCCAAGATAGTACAGAAAGATCCTACCCAGCCCCCATCTGGTTTCCTCATTGTGAACATCTCGAATACCAAGATACATTCGTCAGTGCTGAGACGCTGACCTGTGTTCTGAGTGTGCCAATTAACAAGACTGCAGGCTTGCATTTCACCTTAATGCCTTCTTCTGCCCCAGGATCCAGTTCGGGATTCCATGTTGCATTCAGCTGGCATTGGCCAGCTTTTCATCACTGTAACGAAACACCTGATGCAGGGTTCTTATCAAGTAAACAGGTTTATCTAGCTCACAGTTCTGTAAAATAAAGGTTCAAAAGATAGTGAAGGCTCAAGCAAATGTCCCCATGGCTGAGGGCAGATGGTGGACAGTGATGGTAAGAATGCATGGAGCCACAGGGCACACTACAGTCAGGAAGCGGGGAGAGCTGGGCAGGGCCAGGCTTGTTCTTTTTATAACAACCCTCCCTAAGAGTTACCATAATCCCTTGTGAGGGCAGCACCACAATGACCTAAAGACCTCCCATTAGGCTCCACCTCATAAAGGTCCCACCCACTCCCAATAGTACCACGTGGGGACCAAGTTCCCCACACCTGACCCTTTGTGAGGACATACTGGAACCATAGCATCCTGTGTCCCTTGTTCCCACTGGTCTGTGTTAGTTTCTCAGTCTTTCCTTGTTCTTGACCTTGATAGTTCGAGGAATAACAAATGGATTTTAAGATCTTGGTTTTGTTTTGCTTATTTGTAAGAGAGGCATCTTAATACTTACCCATAATTACTTTTTTCTTTTTCTATCCAAAATTATGATAAAATTAACCCAAACCAGAAAGACCCTGGTGTGTCATGTTCCAAGTAGGAGAAGTCCTCAGCCTCAGTGATTCCATCATCCCGTAATTAAAGCTGTGGAGCACCTGCTGGGTACCACAGGCTCCTGGATGTAGAGGATGCACTCCCGAGAAAGGAGATGTTAGCTGGGTGCCAGTGGCTCACACCTGGAATACCAGCTGTTTGAGAGGCTGGGGCCAGCCTGGACAAACAGTTCTCAAGACCCCATTTCCAAAAATAACCAGAACAAAATGGACTGGAGCTGTGGCTGAAGTGTAGAGCACCTGCTTTGTAAGCACAAAGCCCTAAGTTCAAACCCTGGTTTCACCAAAAAAGAAAAAGAAAGGAGATGGGCTCTTGTGGAGTTCCTGCCTGGAGAATGTGCGGTATTACATTTTGAGGTCATCCTTAAGGTCATGTGAGTCCTCCCAAGGAGATAGCAGTCCCTAGATTAGAATTTGCATGATTGGGCTACTGGCTTCATTGCATGTTAGACCAGTCTGCTCCAAGCTTCAGTGCTCTCATCAGGAAAGTGAAGAGTAGTAGCAGCCTGCCCATTTCACAGATTTCTGACTCGGAAGAAATGGCAAATGTGAAAGTGCGTCCTTTCTATTTGCTATAAGGTGGGAAGTGCCCTGGCTCCCATTTTATAGACATAGACATGGAGACCCACACCCAAAAAAAAAAAAAAGGAAATGGATAAGTCACTGAGTTCTTTACCTGCGCATTTTCTTGACTGAAATTGAATCTTTTTTGACACACTTGTGACAGACTTAGAAAACCAAATAGTGAAACTTTTAATTTTTTTTTTGGCCTTCAATTTGTCTTATCTAGTATACAACATAGAACTGGTTTTTTTAAAACGCTAAAACAGTGTTGGCAAAGATTTAGGAACCATGTGGCTCTCATACACGATCGCTAGGCAAGTAGCAACAGGGAGGTGGCTGTAAAAGGATGGAAATTATTGCTTACTTTTTTGTGGTGTAGGGGTGTGAATTCAGGGTCTTGGGCTTCTAGGCAGGTGCTGGACCCCTTGAGTCACATGTCCAGCCAAAAAATAACTGCTTTCTTTTAACCCATCTGGTTCTTCCCCCAACTCTAGAAAGCAAATGAAACCAAGACACAGAAATTAAGTAACTTGCCCAGAGTTAGCAGATGGCTGAGCCAAGACTTCAGGCTAAGCCAGTCAGGCTCCAGGGCCTGCCTAGCTACTTTGGTCATCGGTCACCATGTAACAAATAACCCCAAATTTAGCAGCTTAAGATAAAACATGCTAATGCGTCACAGTCCCTGTGAATTGGCCGTCTGGGGTGGCTCAGCTGGAGCCTCTGACTCAGGGTGTCTCCTGAGGGTGCCATCCCGCTGTTAGTGGGGCTGTGGTCCCACCTGAAGGCTCAGCTAAGAGATGGGAGGATTCACTCCCAATCTCCCTGTCGTGGCTGTGGCTGGATTCAGTTCTTTGGGACTGTCAACCAGAGGCCACGCTCAGCTCCTTGCTGTGTGGACTGCACAGAGCAGCTCACAACATGGCAGTGCTTCCTTAGAGTGAGAGAGGGGAGCGCCCAGAACAGCGGCCACCGACTGCTCCTATCCCACTCGGTTTAGGTGCTTCTCTATGGTGTCTCCACCTGTCCATCACTGTGAGGCTGTGGAATGTGACCAGAGTTAATGGCCTAAGAAAGTGACTCTTGCCATGTGCTGGTGACTCCTGTCTGTAACCCTAGCTGCTCAGGAGGAAGAGATTAGGATTTTGGCTTGAAGCTAGCCCAGGCAAATAGTTTGTGAAACCCTATCTCAAAAACAAACATCACAAAAATAGGGCTAGTGGAGTGGCTCAAGGTATAGGCCCTGAGTTCAAGCCCTAGAACTGCAAAAAGAAAAAAAAAGAAAGTGACCCCATGACATCCTTTCATACAAAAAAAAAAAAATCAAGTGTGGCCTGGAGGTTCACACCTATAATACCAGCACTCTGGAGACCAAAGAACAAGGATCACCAGTTTGAGGCCAGGCTGGGCTCCATAGTGAGTCCCAGTCCAGGCTCAGCTACATATCAAGACCCTGTCTCAAAAAAACAAAAATAAAAGATAAACAAACAGAAGACCATTTGTCTCGTACAGTATTGTGAGGATTAAATGGAATAACCATTTAATAGTAACCGTGTAAACTGTTTGGGATAATTCCTGGGATGTTCACTACACATGTTCAATACATACTGGACACCTGCTTGTGTGACTTGAAATGACAGACTCGAGGAGGACTGGGGTGTGGCTTAGGTGGTCAAGTGGTAGAACATCCGCCTACCATGTGTGAGGCCCTGAGTTCAAACCCCTATACCGCCGACAGAGAGAGAGAGATCCGAGGACAGGTCTCCTTAATCCATCAAACTGTGCTCTGTTCTCTTGTGGGGTATGACATTATGTAGCACCATTAAGAGAACATTTATTGAGACTGGTATATGGTTCTCTTTCTCTATTAAAATATTGAAACATGAGAGCTAAAATAAAAGTATTGGAGTTGCATGGACCTGGTTCCATTGTGGCTCTGCAACTGGCTAGCTGTGTAACTTTGGAAAAGTCACTTACCCTCTGTGATCTGTAAAATGGGAGGGACACAACTCTCACAGCTGAAGCAGCGGGTGGCAATTTGTGTGGGAAAGGCCACCTAGCACATAGTTGAAGCTTATTCTTATTGGTTTCCCCACTCTATTCCCCTCCCCTCATTTGTCACGGTGCTGGTTATTGAACCCAGGGCCTCATATAAGCTAGGCAAGTGCTCTACCACTTGAGGTACACACCCAGCGCTTTTGTTTTTATTTTGTTTTTGTTTTTCAGTACTAGGGTTTGAACATAGGGCCTCACACTTTTCCCAGGCTGGCCTGTAAGTTGTGATCCTCCTGCCTCCACCTCCTGAATAGCTAGTATTACAGGTGCACACAACCACACCCAGCCTTACTTCTTTTCCCTCTAATACTAGGGATTGAACCCAGGACCTTGTGCTTGCTAGGCAAGTGCTCTACCACTTGAGCCACACCCCCACCCCTTTTTAATAACACTGTTCCCAACAAACTCAACAGGCTCTGGTTTTCAGGTCTCTGCCCAGCAGTCTTTGCCCTCCTCTACCCACCGCTCTCAGGACACGTGGTGGGAAATGATACAGTTCTTAGAACATCTGCCTTGCACCTGCCCTCAGCATCCCTTGTCTCGAGTCTCATTGGTCGCAGTTCCCAGAAGCCAGTTGTCACCCTCTCCACCACCTCGCTGGCTGCCTAGCTCCTGTTTGTCACAGTCCTCCTAATTGTACCTCCACATGGCCCCCCACACCCCATGTGTTATCTTAGGACCCACAAGCCGTGCCCATATTCTCACGGTTCCCTGTATTTCCACTGTCCAATCCCAAGAAGTCTGATCACCACAATGTGACACCAGGATGTTTTCTGGAGAAAAGAAAGAACTTCTGTGCCCTCCTTGGAGGACAGCTAGTTGGTTTCTAATTTCTCACCTTCCCCCTTGGCTGACATCGACACCAGATGGCACAGGTGAAGAATCGTTTTTGTTGGAATACATACCTCTGTTCCATGCAGATCTCACTAATCAGTGTTGTCCCAAGACTCTGCGTTCTGGCCAGCTTGAGAGGAGCAGCTTAGTGTGAAAAGTTCCCTGCCCTTTAATTCTCATCTAATGGAGTGATGCTAGGACGCCCTTTTAAGGATCAAACGGAAGAAAACAAAAGCTGTTTTCTTCATCTTTAAGTAAGTGTAGTGCTGTATTTTAACTGGGCTTCAAGATATATCACTTCAAAAGGCTACATTGTGTTGTATAATTAATTCAGAAACTTGATACCCAAAGCAATTGTAGAAAATTAAGAATAAATTTAAATATGCTTCCTAAAGTAAATAAACAAATATGCTTTCTAAAATCATAGGACTTTGCACAGTTTGACAAGCTGTGTGTGTGTGTGTGTGATGTGATGTGATGTGAAATCTTGGCACATTTACTTTTGTTTATTTTTTCTGTGCTCAGGATGGAACCCAGGGCCTCAGACATGGTAGGCAAGTGCTCTACCACTAAGCCACAACCCAGCCCTTGATATGCTTTTGCTTTAAACCTCTCTGAGCCTTAGTTTCCTCTCCTGTATAATAGAGACAAAGAGATGATAGATGATAGATAGATAGATAGATAGATAGATAGATAGATAGATAGATAGATAACAGATGGGCAGATAAATGGATGATGATTGGATAGATGGATGGATAGATGGATGGTTAGGTGAATGGCTAGGTGGATGGCTAGGTGGATGGATAGATGGATGGTTAGGTGAATGGCTAGGTGGGTGGCTAGGTGGATGGCTAGATGGATGGATAGATGGATGGTTAGATGGATGGATAGATGAATGGATAGATGGATGGATAGATGGATGGTTGGATGGATAAATGGGTAGATGGATGGTTGGATGGATAGATGGATGGTTAGATGGACAGATAGATGGATGGATAGATGGATGGATAGGTAGATGGATATGGATAGGTGGATGGTTAGATGAATGGTTAGATGGATGGATAGATGAATGGATAGATGGATATGGATAGGTGGATGGTTAGATGAATGGTTAGATGGATGGATAGATGAATGGATAGATGGGTAGATGGATGGTTGGATGGATAGATGGATGGTTAGATGGACAGATAGATGGATGGATAGATGGATGGATAGAGGGATGGGCAGAGGGATGGTTGGATGGATGAATAGATGGATGGTTGGATGGATAGATGGATGGCTAGATGGATGGTTAGATGGACAGATAGATGGATGGATAGATGGATGGATAGGTGGATGGATAGGTGGATGGATAACATATATATTATATTCTCTAAATTCTATATGACAATGAAATCACCCATGTGATTTATCTAAAGTGTCTATTGGCCCCTACTTTGCAATCCCAGGGAAAGGAGCTAACGTCACCCACCTGGCACACATGTCCCGGGAAGGTACAGACAAACAGTGATGTGAAAGGGGTTTCGAGTGGACACTGTAAATCCAGACATGCTTCTCCGGGGTCCATCACAGCTGGTTTTCACTCGGGGATGAACCAGGCTTGGGCTTGAGGCCACCTTTGTGTTTCAGTCACATGCCAAGCTAACACGTCTCATGGGGTTAAGCTCCCTCTGTGAGAGTATTGCTCTGTGCAAAATGTGAAATGAGTTTCAGACTAATGATTTGTGACCAGAATTTTTTTTAACAACAAAAAAAGTCTGCTAAAACCACCTTAATTTAGAAATTTGATTATTCCTTCATGGAAAGTGGGGGTGTTACTGTTCTCCTCCTCCTCCTTCTCTATTTTTTTTTTTTTTTTGTAACAGGAACACACTATGTTGCTCAGGCTGACCTTCAACTCCTGAGTTAAAGGAGTCTTGACTCCTGCCCAGCTTTCCTCCTGGGAGACTTTGATCGCCACAACTGTGGATAGGTGCACCTGTCATCTAGTGGTCAGAGGTCAAAGAGGCTGCTGAGCATCCTACAACATATGGACAGTAAAGAATTACCAAACCCAAGCCAAGATCAGAGGCTCATGCCTATAATCCTAGCTACTCAGGATGCAGAGATCAGAAGGATTACAGCTCGAAGCCAACCCAGGCAAATAGTTCTCCCAAGACCCTATCTCAAAAAAATCCTTTACAGTAAAAGGCTGGTGGAGTGGCTCAAGGTGTAGTTCAAACCTCAGTACTGAAAAAAACAACAAATAATTTAAAAAAGAATTATCAAGCCCAAATGCCAGCAGTGTCAAGGTTGAGAGTCTCTGGTCTATACATATATTTGGACTAAATTTTTACAAAATTTGGACAATTTCATAATTTGATCTTTTGTATGCTAATACAGTGGATATCTTTCCGTGTCTATAAATACTCAAAATGTCTACTTCAAAACAATGGGTGCAGAATATTCCAAGCAACAGTTGCTATGTCTTGTTTTTACTTGGCCACCCTCCAGGGTTGGATGTATAGGTTCTTTTCCCCTTTGCTGTTCTTATAGAATATAATAATATAGAATATTATAGAAAATATTATGATGAATATTTTTGACCTACATCTTTGTGTACTGACCACACTATTTTCTTAGGGTAAATCCTTCAAAATTAAATGCTCAGGGCTGGGGTCGTGGCTCAAGTGGTAGAGCGCCTGCCTGGCAAGTGTAAGGGCCTGAGTTCAAACCCTAGTGCTGCCAAAAAGAAGAAGAAGGAGGAGGGAGAGGGAGAGGAGAGGGTAAAAGGGGAGAAAAACAAGAGGAAGGAGGAGAAGAAATTAAGTGCTCAGCCGAAAGGAACAAGCTGACATCTGCTCACTCTCACACCACTAGGATGGAGCATGCCTGTTAGGCTACAACCTCACTAATGCTGTCCTCTCCCGTTTTTTAACCTGCACTGTCCTATAGTGCTAGGTCTGCGACACAATGGTGGTGGTCTGGCCAGGACACCGCCTCTCTTAGGGACCTGGGGCATCTGTTAGGACCGATCCTCACTGTCTTCCTCACTGCAGGATCCAGACACATCAGTCAAACCGCAGCCAAAGTTGACGTTGAGTTTGATTATGACGGACCTCTGATGAAGACAGAAGTCCCAGGGCCCAGATCTCTGGTGAGTCAAGCACACCTGAGTGTTTTGTTTTGAAAAAAAGAAAATGCCACCCAGGAGGCAAGAGCTCAGGCGCTGTGGTGTTAGCTGCTTCTATAACCTCTCTCCTAGATGTCTGGGACTAAAATAAACTGAGCCATTCTGCGAAAGAGGGAAAGGCTTCAAGGGAGAGCTGTCCCTCCTCTGGAGCCACGATAATGACAGAGGCCTCAGAGCACAAAGCATTCAGATTGCTCTCGAGTTTAGGGCTGACAAGGGTGGGGCAGGCAGCTCTGTTGGGCTCACCTGTCTGCCTGGGGGATGACAGCTGGCTGTTGGCCGATCCAGCTGAGGGACTTCAGTCACTGCAGTGACCTGGCTGTGCTCCATGTGTCTTTCATCCTCTAGGACACTGGACTGGACTCATCCTCATCCTGCTATGCCCCTGAGGCAGAGGCACCACACGGGCTCTTTAGTGCTGCCACCTCACTCTGTTGGTCAAAGCAAGTCCCATGGTTTCCTGAGTCCAGAGTCCAGGGCTGGGGCAGAACATGCAAGAAACAGTGGAAGGACATAGTGGTATCACATAGCCTAGGGCCTAGGTAGCCAAGACTCTTGACCTTGACCTTGAAGGATAAGCACCAGTTTAACAGGAGGAGAGCATTCTATGCTGGGCAAGAAGGGAACAGTGTAAACCTTTTGAGCTTAGCATGATGGTGCATGCCTGTAATCCTAGCACTAAGGAGACAGGAAGATTCTGCAACTCTTTTATAAGTTCACAAATCTTCATACTAATGCATCGACTGGTTATTTGGAATAGCGTTTGACTAACAAAAAGAGATTTCTCGTGCATACTCCTGTTGGGGGTGGATTCTAATTTTTTTTTTTTTTGGTACTTTAATTTTTTTACTTTTAGTATTGTTGCACTGGGGGTACACTGTAACATTTACAAAAGTTCTTACAAAATATCATAGTTGAATTTCACCCTCCATCATTCTCCTTTATCCTTCCTCCCTCCCGGATTCTAATTTAATAGGAATAAAATACTTGGAATAGCTTCCCATTTTTTTCCTTAATATTTTACATTTTTGTGTGGAAATATATAATTGTATGATGCTAATTGCTAAGGCCAATAGGAAAAGGGGACCAGGAACTAGAGAAAAGGTTAGATCAAAAAGAATTAACCTAGAAGGTAACACCCACACACAGGAAATCAATGTGAGTCAATGCCCTGTATAGCTATCCTTATCTCAACCAGCAAAACCCCTTGTTCCTTCCTATTATTGCTTATACTCTCTCTACAACAAAATTAGAGATAAGGGCAAAATAGTTTCTGCTGGGTATTGAGGGGGGGGAGCGGGAGGGGGTGGAGTGGGTGGTAAGGGAGGGTGTGGGGGCAGGGGGGAGAAATGAACCAAGCCTTGTATGCACATATGAATAATAAAAGAAAAATGAAAAAAAAAATAAATAAATAAAGTTTACTTTATGTTAATTATTTTGGGAGCTGAAATCTTTGTAATATCAAAGCAATTAGTTTCTTTTTCTTTATTTGGTGGCACTGGGGATTGAACCCAGGGCCTCACACATGCCAGCAAACACTCTACTTGAGCCACAGCTCTTTCATTTGTATTTTTAGAAATTTTTACTAGCATAACATAATTGTACAAAGGAGTTTCATTGTGATATTCGATCAAGTTCACCCCATCTATATATACTTGGGGAGGAAGGGGAAGCGGGAAGACACCATCTCAATAACTCTGCCCAGGATGGTGTTGAACTCAAAATCCTTCTGCCTCCACCTCCAAGTGGCTGGGATGACAGCTCTGTGTCACCATGCCCACCTCAAAGCAACTAGTTTTGCACTCCTAATTTCTGTATAGAATTGTACAGTTTATGGAATGTTTGTATTGAAATTATAAGTGATTCTTTGATACACAAATTAATATTTCAGTTGATATTATTTCCTAATGAAGTGTTAAAGCCATTTTAAAAAAATAAAAAGCAAACCCACTGACTTTTTGTTTAGGATTTTTGGGGGGAGGGCAGGATTGAGACAGAGTCTCACTATGTAGCCCAGACTGGACTCAAACTCATGATCCTCCTGTCTCAGCCTCTCAAGGGCTGGGATTATAGGTGTGTACCCCAGGACTGACTTGAACAGTTGACTGTATAGACACTAAAAAAACACTTTCAGTTTAAAGTTCTTATTCAATATTGGTTTATCTTTATCTTCCAGGTATGTGACTCTCCAGTCTGTTGTACTTGGAATTTAACTAGATAGTAGAATAGTTTCCTGCCAACTTCTTATATCATGTCATTTAAAAATATTTATAATATTGATGACCAGCTGGTAAACTATCAAGCTATTGGCAAGAGAGTAAAAAGAAAGCCCCAAGAGTTGGGAACACATGAAAGATTTTTAAGCTGCTTTGGCAAGAGTGTGTGGTTGCTGTAATGCTTGTTTTGTGCTTGTCTGCAGGAGTTGATGAAACAGCTGAATATAATTCAGGTATGTGGGGGTGACGAAATGTTCCTGCTACTGCTTCTTTTTTGCTGCTTAGTCGAGGGAACAATGCCTAATCTGTTCTCACTCTTTAAAAAAGCGTACTTGAGGGGCTGGTGGAGTGGCTCAGGTGGTAGAGCGCCTGCCTAGCGAGCATGCAAGTCCTGAGTTCAAACCCCAGTACTGCAAAAAGAAAAAAAAAAAAGTGCTTGACTTTTATTCTAAACCTTTTTTCTAATTTCCCTTGTGAATTCTTCTTTGACCTGCTGGCTCTCTGTGTGTCGTTTCATTTCCACATTTCTGTGAATTTCCCAGATTTCTCTCTGTTACTGATCCCTAGCTTCATCCCATTGTGGATGGAAAACATCTCATGGGATTTCAATCCTTTGAAATTTATTGAGCCTGTTTTATGACCTAACCTCTGGTCTGTCCTGGAGAAAGTTCCATGTGTTCTTGGGCTGAATGTGTATTCTGCTGCTATTGGGTGGAGTGGATTACATGCATGTGCCACCAAGCATGAGTCCTATAGATAGTGTACAGTTGGTTCTTTGTATCCAGTTTGATAATCTGTGACTTTTAATTGGATTGTTTAGTCCATGCATAGTTAATGTTATTATTGATATGATTGGATTTGTGTCTACTGTTTTACTTTTTGTTCTATATATGTCTCTTTTTTCTCCTCTGTCCCTCTTTTACTATCTCTTTGTTGTTGCTTTGTTTTATTTTGCTTTCATGTGTGAATTAAGTGAATATTTTCTCATGTTATATTTTCATTTGTTTAATGATTCTAGTTTCCTTCATGGCTTCTCTAAGGTTTGCCACATATATTTTAACTTCTCAGAATGTACTTCAGACTTATATCTCAACCTTTTTTGTTGTGATATATAAAACACATATGGAAAATTTCACAGAACACAAAAATCACAACTTAATGAACTATTATAAAGCAAGCCACCCATATACTTACTCCCAGACAGCACCCATAGAGATCCCCTATGTCCAAGGAATGGGCAGGACAGGGTTCACTTCATTGACTTGAGGTTTAAGTGAGCCTGAGCCAGTGTCCTCTTCCCCCAAGAATGCAGAAGCCGTGCATTTCTTCTGCAACTATGAAGACAGCCGGGGCAACTACCTGGTGGACGTGGATGGCAACCGCATGTTAGACCTTTACTCCCAGATCTCTTCTGTCCCCATAGGTAAGAGCTGGAAAATGGGTCCCTGAAAGGCTCCTCTTTCCCCCTCTTGTCATGACCACAGGTTATAGATCTTCCTCCTTGAAGCCTTCCTGGGTGTTGCCGGCCACAGAACAAAGGGAAGAAATAAGTAATGTGTACAGGTTGTGTGGTTCCTAATGGATCTTCTTTCATTTATTCCTCCCCTAAGCCCTACAAGGTGAATGTGTGTTCATATACCCATTCTGCAGATAGGTAAAGAAATTTTAGAGAGGTAATGTAGCTTGCAAAGCCATCACAGTTTGGGCATGGACCCAAGTTGGTGTAACCATGGTGCCCACAATATCAATGTCTAGTTAAGGTGATTCTCTACTCACAATATCGATGTCTAGTTGGGTTTCCTGGAGGAAGAGGTAAGGCAGGGACTCTCGGGTAACTTGTCTACTGAGTGAGAGAGCTCAGGAGGAAGGGAAGTCACAGAAACAGCACAGGGCAGACGGTGAGGTCCCAGCTGGAGACTGTCCACAGCCTGGTCCCACCAGGACCTGGGGGAATTGAGTTACCCCCCCCCCCCCCCGAGCTGGTCCCAGATCAAGGCAAAGGGACTAGACTTTCTGCACCTCTGTGCCAGTCATTGCCTCTCAGCTGCTACAGGAGAGAATGTGTGTCATCTCCCAGCAAAGCAGCCGCCTCCGTGCATCTAGGGTGATTTCCAGAGGAGGAGGCAGCTGGAGCCATTTTCGGCCAATGCACAGCAGCTGGGATATGAATGACCTGGCTGGGAAAATGACCTTGGTGGGATGCCAGCAGCACCTGCTTCCCCAAGCTCACCTCCTGGCCACACAGAGTGGATAAGGACAACGGGACAGGCAGGGTTAATTTGGAAGTGTGATCACTATTGTTTGCAACTTGGATGGTTAATGTCTCTAGTTGACGTTTGACAAGATGATACCTGGCTGCATCCAGTGGTCATCAGGCTGTGCCTGATAGAGCTGGTCATTTTGCACATGATGCTGCTTTGTTTGCCGCAGAGGGCACGTGGGTGTTCTGTACTCCCCATCAGCAGCTCTGGGATCTTCCCCTGAGACCCAATCTTAGGCGTCCACTCATCCTCCATCTCCCCAGCCCAATTCCACACACCTATTTAATTCCCGTTCCAGTGTGATCAGACAGCAGATGACTCATTCTTTGAGGGGAAGTTCCTCATTCAGGGGTGCCTCAGGCTTTGAAGGTGTTTTGGATTCAAAGACATAAAACCCTATCTCCCCTTTGTGATGGTGCGGAAGGGACCAGCTCTCAAGTTATCATGAGCTCGAATCCTAGCTCCATCTATTAGCCATGATCACAGGACCCACATGCTAGGGCTCCCTCATCTGAATCCCTGGCCCTGTGTGTACAGACATGAGGAGGTTAGGCCTTCTGCATTTGTTAAAAGACTAGAAGTTCTAAAAGTTCTCTTTCTGGCCACCTTTTCTCCTGTATCTATAGTCTTTGAGGTGATTTTGTCATTGTTGTTTTTGGGTTTTTGAGACAGGGTTTCACTATGTGGTCCAGGGTGGCCTAGAACTTGTAGTCCTTCTGCCTCACCCACCCTAGTCAGTGCTGGGATTACAGGCATAAGCCACTGCACCTGTCTATTTTTTAAGCTAATACTCACTGAAAATATACTAGATGCCTAAGTGTCTCCCACGTTATCACATTAAATGGCCATAACAGTCCTCTACCAGGGTCATTTCACCTCATCTCCAGCTTGTATCATTCCAAGTTTCAGGAGGTCATGGGTCTGCCCAGTGGGTACAAGAAATCCAAGGCCACGCCAGGATATGGGGCAGTGACTCTGTCTCTACACCCGACTCTTTGTAAGCATCACAGACACCTGCCCTGCAATGGCACGGGGTGGGGACTCCCACAGCATCCAAGCCCGGGGTGGCATTTCCCTGGTCAGGATGACCAGCTCTGCTTTTATGTCTGCCTCCTGCATCTGAAGTTTAGTGACATTTACCTGGACCACGCTTATCTACCAAGGCAGAAAAGTCATAAACACCCAGGCAGCTGATAAGGAGCCAGAACCTAAAGCTCTCTGGCTAGAAAACAGTTGGAAAGACCCAGGCTGTGTTTGTTCTGAGTGATGAGTGCTCTCCAGCCTTGGACCCAGTGAGCCTCAGGGTGGGGTAGAGAAGGAGCTGGAAATTTTAACTCTCTCCTCATGGCCCCCTGATTCAGCTCCCCACCCATCCTCCTCAGCAGGTGATCCTACCAAGGAGAAAGTCTCCCCTGGGTGGTCCTGGGTCTCTAATACCTGTCTAAACTTGCTAATCTCTTATTATGGAAGAGAACTGGCCCCAGGCTCAGAGCCTTGGGCAGACACCATCAAAGAGTGTTCCCTCTGCATTCAGCTTTTAGCCCCCGGGATATAAAGTGTCCTTTCAAAGTAAGTATTTCAATTAAAAAGGGAATTGGTTTAAAGGGAAGGGAAAGGAAGGGGAGTGGAAGGAAAGGGAAAGGAAGGAAAGGGGAGGGGAGGTGAAGGGGAAGGAAGAAAATAAATACAAGGTATGTGTCTTAGCTATTGGGGCTTCTGTGACAAAATGGCCTAGACTAACAAGCTTAAAAGCAAAACACATTTATTTCTCATAGTTTTGGAAGCTGGGAAGCCTAAGGGCAAGACACTGGCAGATCCAGAGTCTGAGGAGGGCCCACCTTCTAATTCATAGATGCTGCCTTCTCAAAGACTCCTTATGGCGGAGGCTTACAGACAAGCTTGCTTGGCCTCTTTTTTTAAATTGATGTACATTAAGTCACACATAGTGAGGGGACCATCATTCCATTCCCATCCACGAACACAATGTACTTTGATCATATGCACCCCCTTTCTCCTTCTTATCCCCCTCCTCCCCTCTTCCCCTCCTCTTCCACCTCCCTAGCAGTCCTCCCCCTTCCATGACTTTGGGGGGCCTGTTTTATTAGGGCACCTCTCCCTTTCTGACAGCCCCACCCTCATGACCTAATCACTTCCCAAAGCCTCCCCCACAACATTCCTAACATCACCTTGGGGGGTGGGATTTCAACATGAGATTTGGGGGACAAACACTGAGACCATCGCAGTATGTATGATAAACATCGTGATACTTTCAGATCGGGATCCTGCTCCCCCCCATAATCCGTTGACACTGTAGTCTTTTCTCACATGAGAAGACAGTTTAAGCCAAGCACCAGTGGCTCATGCCCCTATTTCTAGCTACTTAGGAAGCTGAGATTGGGAGGATCAATATTTGAGGCCAGCCTGGGCAAAGAGTTCATAAGATCCCATCTCCAAAATAACCAGAGCAAAATGGACTGGAGATGTGGCTCAAGCAGTAGAGTGCCTGCTTTAAGTATGAACTGTTAAGTTCAAACTCCAGCACCATCCAAAAAAAAAAGGACAGTTTGAGCCGGGTACCAGTAGCTCACACCTGTAATCCTGGCTACTCAGGAGGCAGAGATCTGAAGGATCACAGTTGAAAACCAGCCCAGGGAAATGAGTTCAGATCTCAAAAAAAAAAAAAAAACCATCATAGAAGAGGACTGGTGAGTTCAAATGCCAATACCACAAAGAAAAAAAAGACAGTTGAGCTCCTGCCCACTTCATTGGATCTCTACACTACTCACTCCACTAAATTCTACTAAAATATTTTAACACTTGGTGCTTGCGTCTGGTCTCCCAACCACCATGCTTTCCTCCTACAAACCTGGCCTTCCTGCCAGGGTATTGCCAGGATCAGAAATATGTTCAGAAAGCCTCCAGCACGTCTTAGATATTCAGGAGCTAGAAGCCATCATGAAAGGAAGGGAGGATGGAGACGACTGCACACAACTGAGCCAGAATGTCCTGAACCAAACCCTGCCTCTGAGATAAAGGAGACAGGGATATTCTCTAACCTTGGACGAAACCTGCTTCTCATCTGTGTCATTGAGCTGGCTGTGCCTGACTCCCAGGGCTATTGTCAGGACTGAGAGATATTGCATACAAAGCTTTAGCAGAGAGGCTGGCCATAGGGTTAGTGCTCAATAGATGGGAATTATAATCTCGTTAGTTACATGCATGCTCTTTATTTTATGTTCTACAAGCTTGTATGTAAGGTCTGAAGTTTTTGTTTGCTCGTTTTTAAGAGAAGGTCTCACTCTGTAGCCCCAGCTGACCTTTAACTATTGATCCTTCTGCCTCAGCCTCCTGAGTACTGGGATTACAGGCATGCACCACCATGCCTGGCCCACCCTTTATTCTATGGATAGGATGCGTTGCACTCAAGCAGAACATAGTAAATACTAAGCCTAGAAAAGACAGACACACCGTGGGAGGGAGAATGAAATGGGCTGCAGATCTGGGCATGAGGCTTCCTAGAAGTGGCTGGGCCAATTGAGGGCTTTGAGGCAGAAGAATTCGGATATACAGAGGCACAAAGAAATGAGGCAGGAGGCGCAGTGTGACCTAACCCTGCAGACAAGCACGTTCATGGAATGCAAAGCTACCTGCCTGAACAGAGCACAGAGCTCAGACCCCTTTTTCATCCTCCCTTCTCTGTGCAGTGTCCAAAGTGGATTCCAAAGTCACAGGGCCACCAAAACATTGTCTAAGATCTGACTCCTCCCTCCATCAGCATTGCCAGTCCAATTCCAGTTCCGGAGAGTCCTGTCAAGACCTGGTGACCCCAGTAGAGATCCCCAAGACTCCCTCCCACTGGTCCTCTGGCCAGCAAGGGCCAGGCTCAACACAGAGCATTCTGGGAGTTGTGGAATAGCATTACCACTGACAAAGGACACGGCACAAGGAGAGGTGGAAAGGGTCGTTGTCCACCTCCACTGGCTTCAGGGGTGACAATGCCACTCCCACGGACTGAAGACTAGTGAAAGTGAGGGTGCATTCATTGGATGAGAGCTGTGATTTTAGGAAACTAAGGTCAAAAAGAAAAGAGATCCAGTGTTGAATTCTTTTTTTTTTAATATGGGACTGGAGTTTGAACTCAGGGCTGCACACTTGCAAAGCAGGAGCTCTACCACTTGAGCCACACCTCCAGTCCATTTTGCTGTGGTTATTTTGGAGGTGGGCTGGCGTCAAACCTGGATCTTCCCAATCTCAGCTCCCCTAGGTGTCTAAGATTAAACTATTTGCTTGGGCTGGCCTCAAACCTGGATCTTCCCAATCTCTCAGTCCCCGCAGGTGGCTAAGATTAAAGGCATGAGCCAGCAGCACCCAGCTCAGTGTTGAATTCTTTTCTCCAAGAGAGACCTTGCTACCATCTTATGCTCCAACATGATGGTAACTGTCTCCCAGTTCTGACAGGGAACAACCTGAAGGGCAATTGCTTTGCCAAGGGAGAGAGAAAACAGCTGACATCTTAGGAAAGGCCAACATGCAATGGAATCATGGAGAGACATCTTCAAACAGGCCCTGGAAGATGAATTTTAGGAGTGAGGGCGTGGCTTCAGTGGTAGAGCACCTGCCTAGCAAGCACAAGGCCCTGAGTTCCATCCCCAGTACTGCAAGAAAAAAAAAATCTAAAGCAATCTTGCTCAAATTTAACATAACTATAGAGTAAGCCTTATGGATTAGAATCTTTAAATTTGTTTTTAAATTTTATCTAGGAGGGAGCAGTGTCTTTACTGAGCCCAATACCCCTCCTCAATTCCTCTCCCACAAACAGCCATGATCATTGCTTTTTCCTCGAAAGACATTCAGTGCACTCATAAGCACATCCATACCCCATGTGTCTCCTTTTTCACTTAGCAGTAGATCACAGGGATTAGTTTAACTCAGCACAGATGACTCTCTCATCCTTTCCTGCAACTGCATAGTTACATTAAAAGGCATTTGTCTTGTGCACAGTGGCGCAGGCCTGTGATCCCAGCTGTTCAGGAGGCCAGCCTAGTCAAAGTTATTTTGGTTTGGAGACCTTATCTCAAAGCCAAAGTACAAACTAAAGGACCAGAGGCACTCACAAGGCCCTTAGTTCAATCCCCAGTACTGGAGAAAAAGAAAGTCGTTTGTCCTGTGCACGATTCATAGTTTATTTCTCTGATCCACTACTGATGGATGTCAGGTTGCTTTCAAGTCCTGGGATGGCAGTGTCACACTGAGATGCCTGTGCACAGGTCTTTAGATATATTAGTAGGATAAATTCACAGAGTCAAAGAGTATCCTGACCTTTATCATGTAACCCAGCCCCATCTGGACCATAAATGCAGTAGGCCCAGGGATCAAGCCCAGAGTGCAGGTGGCATTGCAAAGGATGAGCTCCACCTCAGCCTGTGGATCCTGGGGGAGAGAAACCAGTTCCTCACACTGGCCTGTGGGATGGACCTTGTCTAGCCCTGGCCTCCATATTTGCTTTGCCCTAGCATCTGCCTCTTCTTAGGTGTATCTGGACCAGCAGGTCCAGACCAGAGCAAGTGTCAGGACCTCCTAGGGGCTTGTTGGGCACACTGCACCCTGGGAGCTGCTGAGTTGGGGGTGAGGGACCAGGGATCTCTTTTTGTCTGTAAAGGGTAAAAGACCCTCTGGCATGTGAAGAGAGTTGTGGGGCTGAAAGGGAGGAGGAAGAGGCACAGGGAGTTCTTCAACTCAGTGCTAATCCCCTAACCCTACCTTTTTCTCCCCAGGCTACAACCACCCTGCCCTGGTGAAGCTGATCCAACAGCCTCAAAATGTGGTATGTCTCCCCATTACACAGAAAAAAACCCAGCTGTACTCATGACCACCCACAGAGTCACTGGGCAGCCTTCAGACACAGCTCATTCATGTCACACGTATTTATTGAGCTCCTACTATGTGCTAGGCACCTAGATTGCCTTGGTGACCAAAAACATACCACCCCCATTCCTGTGGAGGGGATTGATCAGCCATACACATAAGGAGAGAATTACAACCACATCTAGTGCTACAGAGAAAGGCGTTCAGTGCTGTGTAGGCATAAAATACTGGTAATAATGCTAGTGTTTAAGAAGAACGAATAGGTACCAGACCCTGTGTTTGGTCCCTAGCAGCTATAAAATTCACAAACCTGTGAAGCAGGTACCATTGTTATTCTCATTTTATATATGCGGGAACTGAGACACAGAGAGGCTAAGTGTCTGCCCAAGGTTGAACAGCCGGTCCAAATGCTGGGAATAAACCAGAAACAGCTATTTGGGGATGAAGGACATGACTCCCCAAGCCAGGGAGCATGAGGGCTTACTTGGGGAATGAAAGACTGTGGCCAGAACAGAGATAGCAAAAAAGAATCCAAGGAGGACTGGAATTAGCAGGCAGGACCACATGTGGCTTTTAGATACCACCCACAACAGGGTTTCTCAGCCTGATGACATTTGGAACCAAATCATCCTACATCGTGGTGACATTCTTGTGCACCCCAGGCCTCTACCCACTAGATCCCTGTAGCCTCCCCCTCCTCCAGTTGACCAAAAATGTCTACAGACATGGCCAAATGTCCACAAAAATGTCTACAGACATGGCCAAATGTCCCCTGGTAGGTGCAGCCACCCTGGCTGAGATCCCCCGTGGTGGAGACTGAAGTCTGTCCGGAGGGTGGCGGGAAGCTGAGCTCTGAAGTGCAACACACATGCAGGGACATGCGATCCTTCTTGATGTGCTACTCAGTGAACTTCCCCTGTAACCTGGGCCATCTCAACCTTTTTTTGTTTTTCATTGGATCCCTTTAAGGAGGCTTTTTAGACATCAATTTCCTAATTCTCCTCCCATGATGAAATTTTCATAGCACCATATATTCGTTTTATTTTACTCCTGTAACAGATGACCACTGGTTTAAAACAACGCTTGTGGAAGGTAGGGGGCTGGTGAGCCCAGCTGACTACTCTGCTTAGGGTCTCCAAAGCTGAAATCAAGGGGTCGGCCACCAGGCTCTTAGCAGAGGCTCTGGGGTCATTCACTGCTGTCTCCCCTGGGCCTCTCCATCATGACACCACAATGGCAGTTTCCATCATCCTCTGCCTTCCTCTTCTACCTCTGGGATTCAGGGATCCTGTGGTTACACTGAGCCCGGCAGGAAATCTGGGATAATCTTCCTGTCTTAACCTATTAGGGACCATAATGAACTGGGCAGGATGATACACGCCTGCAATCCCAGCACTTGGGAGGCTGAGGGGAGGATCTTGGGTTCAGGAGCAGCTTGGGCTGCATAGCCAGCCCCTGTCTCAAATAAAAGAAACCTTTGTGACATCTTCCATGTGACACATGTCTGGTGCCAGGGATGGCATGAGGATGAGGACATGCCATCATCCTGGGGTCTGTAATTGTGCCTGCAACACTAGATATGGCCCATAGTGAGGTTTTTTTTTTTTTGTGTGTGTGGTACTGGGGTTTGAACTCAGGGTCTTCAGTGAACTTTGAGCCACTCCACCAGCCCTATTTTTGTGAAGGGTTTTTTGAGATAGGGTCTCATGAAATATTTGCCTGGGCTGGCTTCAAACCATGATCCTCCTGATCTCTGCCTCCTGAGTAGCTAGGATTACAGACATGAGCCACTGGCTCTGGCTTAAATTTTTTGTTTTTGTTTTTTGGTCTACTACTTGAGCCACTCCACCAGTCCTTTTTTGTGAAGGTTTGTTTTGAAATAGCGTCTGGTGAATTCTTTGCCTGGGGCTGGCTTCAAACCACAATCTTCCTGATCTCTGTCTCCCGAGAAGCTAGGATTACAGGTGTGAGCCACCATCACCGACATTCTCCCTTTATTTATTGTCACATAAATGGAATCATGCATCATGTCTAGTTTAGTTTTGTTTTATTTGGTGGTACTGAGAATTGAACTCAGGGTCTTGCATTTGTTAGGCAAGCACTTTACCATTTGAGCCACGCCCCAGTCCTGCTCCAATTTATTTCACTCAAAATCCACATCTGTGTGATTCAGCTCTTACGTGGCTCCACGGCATCCAACTGTGCGTGTAAGTAATCAGCTTGTCCATTCGACTGTTGCTGGGCACCTGGGTGGGCTCCACGTTGGGGCTGTTAGAAGGAGCGCTGCTGTGAACTATGGAGTCTGTGTCATTGATGGGCACATCTGTGCGTTTCCACTGAATTCAGAGCTAGGAGTGGAATAGCTGGCCGTTGTGTGTGTGCATTTCCAGCTGTCGTAGATCCTGTCAGCTTTCCAAGTTGATTGTCCCAACTCCCACTTCCACCAGCAGTGTGGGAGGGTCCCCCAGTCCACATCCTCCCCAAAGCTCAGTATTATTGGAGGGTTTTCATTTCACCCAGAGAGGGACATCCATGTCCACACGTGACAAGGAGCTCGATTTCCAATAATAAATCTAAGAAAGGCAGGGAGGACCAAAACCCAGTCCGATTCAAGACCTGAGTCCTCAGCCTTAAAACTCTTTTAACTGAGCCAGGTGCCAGTGGCTCACACCTGTAATCCTAGCTACTCAGGAGGCAGAGATCAGGAGACTCACGGTTCAAAGCTAGTCCCAGGCAAATAGTTTGTGAGACCCTATCTCGAAAAATCCTTCACAAAAAAAGAGCTCAGGCAGTAAGAACACCTGCTTAGCAAGAGTGAGGCCCTGAGTTCAAACCCCAGCATTGCCCCCCCTCCCAAAAAAAAACCTTTTAACTGACAGAATTTGGGATCCTCCAAAAGAAAGAACCATCTTTCTCTCCTGATAAATGGATGGCTGTGCCCTGCTGTGTAGGAGCTTGAGGACATTCTGGCTCCAGTTAGCCGACAGATGCAGGGACTGCCACAGAGGACTCTCGTGAACTCCCTCAAGGTGACTGATGAGGCCATTTGTGGCTGGCTGGAGGCTCTGTGGATGTGTTTGCATTCAAAGCCGGCTTTGTGGTGAAACACCACCACAGATCCCAGATGCTTTGGCAGTTGGTGCTGAAGGAACGTATCAACAAACATGTCAAACACATTTGCAATGTCAGCTGACTGCAGAGGCACAGTCTTCCCCAACAACACATGACTGGGAGCCTCAGTGATTCTGATTTCCCAGATGGCACCACCTGTGTCCTGCCAGAACTCCCCCCCACCGCCGCCAGCCCCCAGCCCCATGCGCTTCCCACCTCTCACCAGGTGAGGGCCAGTCCTAACCCTCACCTCTCCCACTTGGATCTCAGCAGCTGCCTCTCTCCAGCCATCCCTCTCACCTCCTCCAAGCTGTGCCACGCATGCATGGACCCCTTCCCAGGTCCACTGCCTTCAGGATGTGACTACAGCTCCTCTGACGCACATGCAAAGCTCTGGGGGTCACATCCCACTTTTTGAGAAACTTCAGCCTTTTTCCTGACATCTGTTCCTTCTCTGGCTATCCGTTGAACCGCTGCTGTGTACAGAGCTGGATCTGGGGCTGGGGTTTCACGGGGGGATCGGTCTCCTATGCAGTGGTGTGAGTTGTTCTGTAGAGGGCCTGGATGGGGCTTGGTAAAAAGAGCCCCCGACGCAGCCTCAGAGAAGTGGCAGCTGACCACCACATGCTAAAAGCTAACATTTCTAGGGCATCAGGCTGATGACGCTGACTGATGACTCTTGGCTGAGGACATGCCCAGGTTGTGGGCACATTATTTTAACCTGTCCGTGGTGGTTCCTGCCAGGACATCAAAGTCCTGAAAAGGAGCTTAGCCACCCTTTTGTACCCCAACAGTACCACCAAGAACTCCAACACAGTGACTTCATGTGACTGCAAAAATGCAACACTCTCTCCCAGGTCTAAGATCTGGGTTCTGGCTCTTTGTTTGTTTGGTTTTTTGAGATAGGGTCTTGCTAAGTAGTCCAGGCTGGCCTTGAACTCATGATCCTCCTGCCTCCAACTCCCAAGGGCTAGGATTATAGGCATTCACCACCACACCTGGCTTGAGGTTGGACTTTATGTCACCAGGATCATCTCACTTCATTGCCCCCACTCTGTGCAATAATTATGGGGCATTGTATATACGCAGTCACGGACTGGAGGTGTGGCTCAAGTGGTAGAGCACCTGCTTTGCAAGGGTAAAGCCTTGAATTCAAACCCCAGTCCCACCAGAAAAAGAAAAAAAAAGTTAATGCAATGTGTATACAAGTCACATTGTCATGAAAGATGACTGCAGTCTGACTTCCCTACATCTAGAATGGGTGTCACACAGGGGGCCTGGTCTGGTAAGAAAGATGCCAGTCTATGACTTCCAAGCCTTTCCACCTGCATAGCTCTGTTCTTCAAGATGGAGCTCTGTATTCTGTGTCACTATACAGCTCCTTACAAGTACCCATGTGGACAGATGAAGACCCTGAAGCTCAGAGAAGTCAAGTGACTTGCCCAAGGCTGCACAGTCACTTAAGCCAAAGCCTGTTCTTTTCATGCTGCACTTTAAGACTGTTGAACTAGCTGGGCATGTTGGTGCATGCCTGTAATCCCAGCACTTGAGAAGCTGAGGCAGGAGGATCATGAGTTCAAGGCTAGCCTGGGCTATACAGCCTATTTCACAAAAACAAAAAACAGAAGAGAGAGAGAGAGAGAGAATGATGGTGAGGCTTCTAGAAGCCTGCCCTCATTTGATTCTGTAACCCAATGTCCCAGCTGTCTTCTCTTCTAAATGTCATGCTTTATTGAGCAAGACAATCACCCCCACATCTTTCCTGGGCCCAGATAGGCAGCCAAGCTGTCAGCCTGTCTGCCACCTCTGGGAGCCATTTCCTCTGCAGTCCAGGATGGCGGTTTGCTT